AGCGCTAGCATTGCTTGTTCCACAACAGTGAGGTCCCGCAGTGGCACGAGAACAACGCCAAGGCAATTGTTGTTACCTAACACTAAACGTGTCAGGGAGACAGGAAATGAGACGAGAATAGGCGAAGGACAAGCACGGCCGGACCGCCGCTCGGTCCTAGCCCCCATTGCTCACATCCCAATGGGGTGGCGAGTAAGTGCGAAGGTTTCAACGGGACACGGCAGTGTAACATACGATACAGTACGATACGGCTGAGAGCGTCCGTCATGGGGCCACCGCCCCGCTGGACATTAAAATGATCTATAATAATAATAATAACAACACTAAACGTGGAAGCTTGTGGTTTTTCAAGTCTTGCAGACAAGTCGAGCACATGGAGAGTACAACCTGCGCAATCAAGTCTGTACGGACTCTTTCCGGGCCCAAATATGAGACCACAAGCACCGAGGGGTAAAATAGGCAAGATCTCGCCCCAAAGTCAAGGCCTATGTCTACTGTGCTGCTAGCCCTTCATCGCTGCCTAATATGACCGAGGTATCCGCCCCTGGATGTCGATTCCGTTTTGAGATAGTAGGGGAGTGATGGGGATGTGCTCAGTTTTGAGAAGTCGACATCAGTATATTGCTCGGCCAGCTAGGGAAACAATCGCCAGTCAATAGTATTCATCATCAGCGGTCAATGCGTGGCGCAGGGCCTACAAATTATGGAAGATCAGTGGCGGAGGGAACTATCAGCAAGATGAAAATACCTTTCCAGTGGTGCTAGCGTCCTGGTTGGCAATGACACATGGGTAGGAGAGCAAGGACAAGGGCGAGGGGCGGGAGGAGAACAGCGCTATGTATGCTCCCATCAAGAAGGCAGAAGGCAGAGTGAGTGGGGGGCAGGGCCTGCTAGGACGTTGGGAACGACGATGGGCACGATAGTTATGATGTGGTCGGAAAGAAAGCCCGTGAGAAAGCGTCGGTCGGGTAGATATGGGGAATTGCGACGGGGTACAGCCACCACCCAGCCCCGAGCCCGCTCCGAGACTGCTCACAGGGGTGGTGGCTGTACCCCGTCG